GAGGTAGAAGAGACGCTGTCTGGCTTTCTTCACAGTGACCAAAACAGGGCCTGTGTGATTGTCACACCTATTCAAAGATGTCCACTCTTTCCACCTCAGACCCACTGATGCGGAGTGGATGGAAGACCCTCTGCTGTTTCCTGCTGAAATCCACCATCAGTTCCTCAGTTTTGCTGACATTCAGCAGGAGATTATTCTTCTGGCACCAGCTCTCCAGGTGGACGACCTCCGACCTGTAGGCCTGTTCGTCATTGTGGGAGATGAGCCCCACAACAGCCGTATTGTCAGCAAACTTTATGATCATGTTACTGTCTGATGTTCTGTGTTAGAGTTGTATTGGTTCACAGGGTCAGCGGTCCTCAGGTGTATAAGGTTTTTTTTTTTAATCAGACAATGAGTATTTTTAAGTAGGAGCTGTTTGAACCTTGACATGTTTCGACTGTCACTGACGTCTGTGGTGCTCAGTCTCAGAGAGGTTGAGCTGAAGGTGGCATTTTTTTAATCCATGCCGAGATGTCTGAAGGGCATGATGAGATCCGAGCAGAGACTGTGTGGTCGTCTGGTGGAAAAGGACAGGAAGAGCTGGGTATCATCAGCATAGCAATGGAATGAGACATCATGGGCCTGGATTATTGCACCAAGTGAGGTTGTGTATATTGAGAAGAGAAAGGGACCGAGCACTGACCCTTGAGGAACCCCTGTGGATAGGTTCCTCTTAGTCAGTTGCTTTTGAACCTCGATGCTGAACATTTATCAGCATTTAAACCTGGTGTTATTGCTCCGTCTGGAGTGTTACTACGCTGACAGTTGGCTTTTGTTTTTTGTTTAACCCTTACAACACTATAGCCCGCTACATCGGTCTGTGGCTTTCACCCCGTTCAACCCGGCAGACCGCTTTACCGGTCTGCCGCTTTGATCCCGTCTACCCTGCAGCCCGGTATAGCTGCCTCCAGTAGCTATATGCCGACTTTCTGTTACACTCATTTCGATTGTCTAGCAGTGAGAATCCCCGTATGTGAACAAACGATTCAGTCATGAAATAAATGATGCAAATAATAGTAACGGTATACAGGGTTCTCTGCGGCGCCATAACAGAGTAACGACCCGTTACGCTGCTGCCTGAAAAAAATTCCGCTGCAAATTGGGCCAATACGTTGTTTTTGAGAGTATGTAACGGGAAAATATTTAACAACAAGCGCCGACGGAGTTTCACTACCATCGTCTTCGTTGCTAACATTGCTATTTGCTAGTGTAATCGCTGCTACCCATTAGCAACGGGACGACAACGACCCCCACACTCATGCACCCCCTGGGGGACGACAACGACGACAACTTAGCTACTATACCAAAGTTGCTTAGTGTTGAAAGGGTTAAGTTGATTCAGCCGGGTTCAGTGTGATGCTACACAAACTGTGACAAGATAACAGCTGCAACCCTCCTTTCCTGTAATGTCTCACTGATGAAAATTACAGTCTAGAGGACAAACTTCTGTCAGTGTTGCTACACCAGTACAGCTGCCAGGTCTCAAATGAAAACAAATTGTCTAACCAATAATCAAAATGGATTAGTTAATCAGTAATCTGACAATACAAAGAGGTCATTTCATTCTGCCTGGATTTGGTTCAACACTGATGAAGTATTAGCTGGGATGTGTTCACCTCAGCAGCTGAGATCACCGTTTTGTTTACAGACGTGAGATTAGGTTTGTCTATTCTTCATTTTTTTTTCTTTTAGGATTTCAAAGCCAATTTTTCTTCATAGAATGTGAAAAGACCTCAAATCAAAAGAAGTGTGCTTTTCTCATAATTTCACTAACTGAAAAAGATAAACTTCCATATATTCTATACTCATTACATGTCAAGTAAAATCTCGTTTTTTGATTCAGTTTTGATGATTATGGCGTATAGCTCATGAAAATCAGAAATCAAGTTTCAGAAGTGACAAAGCAAGAGGAAATAAGAAGAAAGAAAAGAATCATGGCTGACAGAGTCTTCATTAAAAAAAAAATAGTTTAATGAACTCATGGTTTCTGGTTCCAGGTACAATGTGAATTAATTCTGACAAGTACAAAATCTGATTATCAGCAGCAAGGAACAATGACTGCATTCTAATGATTAACATGTACCTAACCTTTGATAAAAACACAAAAATGCATGAGTCCATTCCTCTAGAGAAAAATTAATTTTTTTAAAAAGTAAAAATTCTTAATGAAAAAGAACGTCAAAAATCGGAATAATAAGAATAAGTATATAAGAAGGGGATGAGCAGACTCTACTTCCTGAGGAAGCTAAGATCCTTCGGCGTGTGCAGCAAGATGTTGAACATTTTCTATCAGTCTGTTGTTGCCAGTGCAGTGTTCTCTGCTGTAGTCTGCTGGGGAGGCAGCATCGGAGCCGGCGACACCAACAGCCTGAACAAACTGATCAGGAAGGCTG